TCATTCTGTCGTGGTGCAGAGCGGTTTAGGCGAGCTGCGTGCTCCAGCAGGGCTCTCAAATCCAGCCGCTTCACCTCTACCTACAAAGGAGTTGGGGAAGCAACTCCTGTTTACTCAACCTACCTTTCTCGCCGGTTCTTTCCTCTCTGAAGTGCCTCTGCAATTCGCCTGTCTATCCCACTCCAATACTAGTGTGCTACTTTCCTGCTTCCTGTCCCCGTGACCTACGTTTCAAGCCGTTTTGAGCTCTGCTTTGAAGTCCAAGACTTCATCGAGGTCTTGACCAGCTTATATCGCACCGGCCAAGCAGAGGATATGGAGCGCCGCGCTTCGTCCTTTTTCGCCATCGTGCTAGCGGCCGCGGTGGTACTCGTCTGCGCTTCGGCACGTGTGGAGGCACTATCGATGGCCCGCGTCGGAGGGACCTATACTGACGTTAAAGGCGCCGCGAGCAAGCGATGAGATCAGATCCTTGGCGCAGGTGGCCATCCGCGAGATTAACAGCAAAACGGTCAGACCTTATCCACGTTACCTCATCCCTTCGCGAAATTCGCATGAACATGCCCTGCCGACGAAAACCCGTCGCATTGAACGCGAGTCATCGCGTATTCGAGCCCATGCTCTCAGGCCTCGTCTTCGAACGGATGGCATTGCCGCGTCCCTTTATTCCACCACCACCGCTGTCACCGCCGCCAACTCACGCGGGCTACCCGTCAATTCTTCGTCCCCTCCTCTCTCCCCCCCCCCCCCCCCCCCCCCCCCTCCCCCCCTCCTTCTCCCGCCACCCGCCCTTCCCACCACCCAGGGCACGCTGTACAGCTTCGTGTCGGTGGTGTCCGCTCAGGAGGAGCTCGAGGTTCCGAGCGGCAGCTACCGCATCAAGATCAAAGCCACCGATTCCTCCGCGTTGCCCGCTAAGCGAGCCTACACGCTCGGAGGCGGTCCTTCCGGCGGCGTGGGCGGCGCGTTCAAGAAAATCAAGACGATGCTGCGAGGCGGTAAGACGACGATGCCGATGACGAAGTCGATGACGCCCAAAGGGAATGGTGTCGTGAGCGCGCTGATCACGCTGCTCGTGGATGCGGTGGATGGGTTCGGCCTTGGGCCAGCCGACAAACTTAAGAATTTCAAGAAGCTTTAGTGATAGAAGCGGCGGCGGGTAGGAGTTTTTGGAATAAAGGCAGCTGCAGGTGCGCTTGGATGTGAACCGACGAGCGCGTTTTGCACCGCTGCAAGTTATTGGGGTGATCAGGCACTTTCGAATTCCCTTCAAGGTGCGCTCGACTCAACATTGGATACGTGCGCTTCTTCCGACCTAACGAGTTACTGCTGGTGGGAAGAAGAATAATGAACTGTTAGACATTGCACGAGTGGCTAGTAACGTTCCTCCCTGTCCCATTTCTTTAGCTTTCTGATGTAACATACGGCCGAATGGTGTACATGGTTACTACGAGTCGTTGTCTTTGCATTGATACATAGGAGCGAAGCACAAGCAGATTCTTGCTTCAGCCACAAGAAACAGAATGAAGCAGAGCTATCAAGACAGAGAAGCCACGATCAGACCAATGCCAAGAGACACAGAGAGTTGGAACTGGCTAATGTCAAGAGACACAGTTAGTTGAAACTGGCAAATGTCAAGGGACACAGATAGTTGAGCCTGGCTAATGTCAAGGGACACAGATAGTTGAACCTGGCTAATGTCAAGGGACACAGATAGTTGAAACTGGCTAATGTCAAGGGACACAGAGAGTTGAAACTGGCTAATGTCAAGGGACACAGAGAGTTGAAACTGGCTAATGTCAAGGGACGCAGATAGTTGAAACTGGCTAATGTCAAGGGACACAGATAGTTGAAACTGGCTAATGTCAAGGGACACAGATGGTAGTTGAAACTGACTAATGTAAAGGGACACAGAGAGTTGAAGTCTTGAAACATCAAGACTTCCTCCATGAGAGATTCTCAACTGCACGCGTGCATCATGCGGCCAGGATAGAGCCACCACACCACACGCTTCATCTCACCCCAAACCCAGCTAAACGAGATAAGCACGTTGCAGGTGTTGCACAAACAGCTCGCCGCTCCATCTATACTCCCTAACCCCAACACCCACTCACAACCCCTTTCATGCATCCCTCTCCACTCAAGAGGGAACAGGAGGAGAGGATACAGACAGCTTCAAGGCTTTGAACTGACTCGTTTGAAGAGACATACAGCAGTACCCAGTGCGGGTTTTGATTGATACAGGTATGGTAACCGGACAGAGTTCATTCATTCAATTACCTGGTTGCAGCAGCACACCCACGATCATGCTGCACATAGTGCAACCTGAGCAGGGCCACCCCACATTACAGCCTCAACTCGAAACACAAAACCCTATAAAACAAGAGACTACGCAGATGGCAGCTGTTGCTCAAACAGCGCGCAGCACATCACTTCCGCCTCCCAACTCTCAGTCCTCAAACTCCCCAATGGTCACATTCCCAGTCATTCCCTCCTCTCCTCTAGCCCACTCCTGTCCCCACTCGCATTTACACTTGAATATACAGGAACAGGCGGCTAGGCTAAACCACATATCTCTCTCTCCAGGCTTGGCCTCCCCTGCAGTCAGCACCCCCCCCACTACAAGCAATTCTCTTGAAACTGCCTCTCAAAGCCTTATGGAGTACTTGCTGTGAGCCACCCGCCAGCCACCACACCAATATCCAGCAAGAGTTCTGGAGGGAACAATGCAGGTGGGTGGGGAAGGGGGTGTGGGGGGAGAAAGGAGAGGTGGGGAATCGTAGAGGATCAGCAAGGCAGGCACGGTAAGCCAAGGCATGGCATGGCACAGCCTGTAAGGGGCTTATGCTTCCCATGAAGCAAAGCAGCGCTCTCTACTCTCTTTCCTTTCTGCTCTCCAGCACCTGCCGTGAGTGAGAGCACGCACTCAAATGTGCTTCTGCTGGCAATTATTGAGAAGTCTCACAAGATACTCTCCTCCCAACATGCATTTTGTGCGGTGCTACAGGCTTGGGAGGGCGGAGTAAATGTCCCAGCACTTCACTCTTCTCTGTCATGCCATGTCTGCATGGTTCTAACACACAACCATGCACAGATGTCCTACCTGTCACGTGACCAGTGCTCCAATGCTTCAGATCTTAATTTCTAGAGCGCCCATCCCACTGCCTCAGCTGCTCTCTCAATCATATCTCCTATATGACCCTGATATGCACACAATGCCACTCATCTCACCTGTCTCCACCGCTCTCCACCGCCTCATCTCTTGAGCGCCCCTCATGTTCACTGTCTCATCATCTCCTGAATAGCCCTACCATTCACACACAACCGCCCTCACCTCACCTGTCCCAATCGCTCTCCACCGTATCATCTTTTGAGCGCCCCTCCAGCCGCCTCCGCTGCTCTCTGCCTCATCATCTCCTGCACAGCCTTGCGCCGCCTCGACTCCATCTGCTGTGCCGACCGCCGGAAATGCTCCTTGAGATCCCTGCGAGTGGGCGGAAAGAATAGATCATCAAGGGCAACGGGCAACGAGAAAGGGCATATAGACGACTTTAGAGGCGCCTCAAAAGTCTGACCGCCGGAACCTCCTTGAGATCCCTGCGAGTGGAGAATGGAATGGGGGGGCAAATCAAAAGGCAACAGGGAAACGGCATAAAGAAACAGCATAAAGAAAGGCTGGCAGAGAGCAGGGCAGAGGACAAGACGGTTGGATAAGAAGATACCCTTCCAGAAGATCTGATTCCATCTTATACACGAGACTTGCCAGAAAGAAGGCACAGCAAACCTGTGGACCACCCAGGTCCGAGCCTTGCTCCTGAACCCCCCCCCTGCTACTGCGCAAACTCACTTGCAGCGCGGCACTTTGCAGAGGCTGTCTTTGCAGGAGCGTGCGTGCAGGTGCAGCAGCCCCCACATGCGCTTGCAGTGCTGGCAACCCCCCGCTGAGCGCACGGCACAGATGGTGCCGTGGCGGAACAGCATCTTCACCATGCTGCACTTGGGGTACGTGCACACCGTGCCTGGCTGGGGGCGGCAGGACGCTGCGTGAGCCAATAACTCCAGCATCTTCCGCACCTGTTGGGGCACAAGCAGAAAGAAAAGGAGGAGGGAGGGATGGGAAGGGAAGAGAGCATCTTGACCATGCTGCACTTGGGGTACGTGCACACAGTGCCCGGCTGGGGGCGACAGGATGCAGTGGACCCATCTTATGTTTTTTGAGAATTCTCAAAAGACAGGATGCAGTGGACCCATCTTATGTTTTTTGAGAATTCTCAAAAGACAGGATGCAGTGGACCCATCTTATGTTTTTTGAGAATTCTCAAAAGACAGGATGCAGTGGACCCATCTCAAAACCCCCCACACAGCCCCAACCAATGCTCCCTGCCAGCCAGGCCGTCATCCAGTCCCCCCACCTCCGTGCCATTCAAACACACACCTTCCCTGCCCTCCACCCCCACTCACCTCCTTGATACGCTGCTGCCGTCCCTCCTGGCTCTGCGCGTTCCTATCCGGCTGGCTCGCATGCGACACCAGCGGGTGCGGGTGTCCACACGTGTCCTTGCACTGGGCGCACACATCATAATCCGGACACTGCTCGCACCGCCACCCCTGCCGGTTCTCAATGTCGCGCTGGCACGCGTTGCAGGTGACAACGAAGGCGGGCGCGGTGGGGTTGTGCAGGTGGTAGAGCACCATGAGCGACGAGTGCTTGGCGCGGCGCAGCGTGTCGTACTGGTAGTGGTTGCCCTGGCAGAGAGAGAGAAACGCCTGCCGCGTGTCAAAGAATTCAGACTCCACCACTTCATCCGGATCTTTTGTTTCCGTAGGGACTGGCGGGTCGATGGGCCTCTGCGGGCGCAAGGGGGAGGGGGAGGGGTGCGCAGGGGGGGAGGGGGGAGGGGGGAAGGGGGAGCAGAGGGCAAAGGAAGGGGGGTTGTGCAGGTGGTAGAGCACCATGAGGGAGGAGTGCTTGGTGCGGCGGAGAGTGTCGTACTGGTAGTGGTTGCCCTGGCACAGCGACAGGAAGGCCTGGCGTGTGTCAAAGAACTCCGACTCCACCACTTCGTCGGGGTCCTTTGTTTCGGAAGGAACCAGCGGGTCGATGGGACGCTGGGAGGGGGGAAAACGGTGGGAGGGGAGGGGAAGGGGAAAGGGGAGGGGTGCAGGGGGGGGAGGAGGGTGTGCAGGTAGTGGCATGAGCAAGAAGTGCTTGGCACAGAGACAGCAAGGCCTGCCGCATATTAAAGAACTCCGACTCCACCACCTCCTCTGGGTCCTTTGTTTCTGCTGGTACTAGCGGGTCGATGGGGCGCTGGGGGTGGGGGGGACGGGAGGGGGTGCAGGTAGTGGCATGAGCAAGGAGAGCTTGGCACAGCGACAGGAAGGCCTGGCGTGTGCCAAAGAATTCTGATTCCACCACTTCGTCGGGATCCTTTGTTTCCAAGGGGACTGGTGGGTCAATGAGGCGCTGTGGGAACACGGGGCAAATGGGGTGAAAGGGGAGGGGGAGGGGTGCAGAGGGGGGAGGGGTGCAGAGGGTTGCAAGTGGTGGGTGAAGTGAAGAAGTGCATGGCGATGGCAGAGTGAGGGATCAATAAAAGAAACAGTTTCAGGAAGGCCTGGTGTGTGTGTGTGTGTGTGTGTGTGTGTGTGTGTGTGTGTGTGTGTGTGTGTGTGTGTGTGTGTGTGTGTGAAGCAGTCATGGGTGTGAGTTGGTAGGGAGCACTCACCGGAGCTAGTTGGTGGGCCTCCTTGAGCAGCACAGGGTGGCGGTCCACGGGGCTGCGCCGCTCCTCCTGCTTGAAACACCTGCACGGGCGGGAGACATGAGCGCGCGGAGGAATGGACGGGAGGGATGGGCGGATGGATGGGTGGAAGGAATGAATGGGCGGGAGGAATCGAGGGGAGGGGGAGGGGGGGGGGAGAATGGTTAGGAGGAATGCGCAGGGATGGTGGGAACACTGGGGCGGGAAGACGGAAACAGCAAGGAGGAAAGCAGATAGACGAGAGAGCACGACCACAGAGGGAGCATGATCAAGGAAGGAAAGGCAATGAGGGGCTGTAGGGAAGGGGAGGGGAGGGGAGGGCTGTAGGGGAGGGAAGGGGAGGGGAGGGCTGTAGGTGAGGGGAGGGGAGGGCAGCGGATGAATGGAAGGGCTCACGAGTCGCAGATGTTGAAGTGCTTGCACTGCGGCTGTAAGCACACCCATCTGTTGCCGGTGATGATGAAGTTCTTGCAGTGCGAGCAGCAGTAGTGCATGTGTACCATTATGAAATCCTCCTTCATCTGCAGTATCGTGCTGCCCAGCTGCGGGTGGGGCGAGGGAGCGAGGCGGAACGAGGGAGCGAGAGGGAGCGAGGCAGGGTTAGCTCCTTGAACAGGTTGCCGCATACAAGAATGCCTTGGATACTTTCACCCTTGCCCTCTCATTTACTTTACCCCTGCCCCCCACCTTCCTTTCTCACCTTGCTCATCAGCTGCTTATCCAGCGAAGCCGGAGTCCACAGGCCGTCATCCCTCCCCCCTGCCCTCTCCTGTACCACCGTTCTCACGTCCCCACAGAACATTCTCACATCTCTCCCCTCCCACCTGCAAACGCCTCGCTTCCTTACCCCTTCGAGGGAGCCCAATCACCTCCCTCTCTCCTCCCCCTCCCTCTCACCTTGCTCATCAGCTGCTTGTCCAGGGACGCAGGCGTCCCCAAATCCTCATCCCTGCCCCCTCCGCCCCCCCGTTTGCTCGAAGCCTTGCTCTTCTTTGCCTTCTTGGGCCCCTTCCCTCCGGCCTTCTCCTCCTCGCGCTCCTCCAGCAGCTTCTGCAGCTCGTCCTCCATGGCGCCCGGCCAGTAGTCCCCGTCAAAGTACGGCAGGCGGGCTGCGGAGGGCAGCGCGCGGCACTCCCCGATCTGCACGAAGAAGGTGTCGTACAGGTTGCTCACTTCCACCACGATGTTCTCTGAGGTGGCTTTCCGCAGCATGGTGAGGTACCTGTTAATAAAGGGGATGGGTGGGAGGGTGGGATAAGAGAGGGGAACAGGCGGTTGAAAGAGAAGAAGGTGCCGTACAGGTTGCTCACCTCCACCACCATGCTCTCTGCAGTCGCCTTGCGCAGCATGGTGAGATACCTGGAGAAGGGGGATGGAAGGGAGGTGTAGGAGAGAGGCGGTTGAACAAGAAGAAGGTGTCGTAGAGGTTGCTCACCTCCACCATGCTCTCTGCCGTGGCTTTCCGCAGCATGGTGAGGTACCTTGTGAAGGGGATGGGAAGAGCGGGAGGAACGGTCGAGGTGGAAGCAAAATCAGTTTGGTTTCAGTTCAACCACGCATGTTTGGATCAGTCAATTGGAGCGGTGTCAACCGACTGAGATACTCAGAGGCAGTAGATTGATCAGTTTCAGTGCACCACTCATCGTGCGGCTGACAGCATGGCATGGCCACAGCAAGCAATGCACCATTCGCGCAGCACAGCTGAGAGCATACCATTCGCGCAGCTTGACGGGTTGGGGCGTCTTCTGGATCTCGGGGTGGCAGTAGAGGATGTAGTCCTCGCCCTTGAGCGGCGGGCACGCCCAGATGTAGCAACTCGTGAAGCCACGCATCTTGGAATACTCCAGGTACCCGATCTGGTGGGGCGAAGGAGGGGGGAGGGGGGAGGGGGGGTGGTGGGGTGTTGACACGAAAGTTAGAAAGATATTTTGGGATGTGGTCCTCTGCTCTCGATGTTGTGACAGCTACTGCCAGATGCAGCAAGTCGTGAAACCACGCATCTTGGAATGCTCTAGTTACCTGATCTGGTGCGCATGTAAAGGGTTGACACAGGGCAGGAGAAACGGGGGGAAGGACGGGCAAAGGGAGACGATATGGGGCCTCTGAGCCTTCTATATTACCCTAATTGAACGCAGGCAGTGCATTGGCAAGGTCACTGACCAGTATCTCATGGCAGACGAATGTGCTCAGGGCCTCCCCGTTGACAGTGCGCACGTCCGGGCGGAAGTACTTGATGGAGTGGAGGCAGGAGAGGTAGATGGAGAATGGCAAGAGGGTGGTGCACTGAGAAGATTGCTCACCAGAATCTCGTGGTAGACAAACGTCCGCAGGGCCTCCCCATATACGGTGCGGACGTCCGGGCGGAAGTACTTGATGGAGTCGAGGTAGGAGAGGTAGATGCGGCGGTGGTTGGCTTGAACCAGGAAATTCACCAGCACCTAGCAGCAAGCAAGCACACCTGCGCCTAGAGGCAAGGTCACTCACCAGAATCTCGTGGTACACGAACGTTCTCAGGGCCTCCCCGTTGACCGTACGGACGTCAGGGCGGAAGTACTTGATGGAGTCGAGGTAGGAGAGGTAGATGCGGCGGTGGTTGGGCGGCAGGCAGTCGGCACCAAACTCCTGCACGTACATGGCGTAGAGACACACCTCTACGCCCTCTATGCGCTGAAACAGCAGCACCACCTGGTGAGCGTTGTGGAGGAAGTGGGAGGGGGGACGAGGAGGAGAATATGGAGCGGGTGTAAAGAGAGGGCTCACTGACTGGCATAGAGGCACACCTCCATCCCCCCCCACTATGTGCTGGAACAACAGCACCACCTGGAAAGGGGGCATTTCAGTTCACTTGAATTAAAAGAGACATACCTTTAATCACTCTCATGCCCCTTCCCGCCCTTTCTCCCCTGCCCCCCGCACCTTGGACTTGTAAGGGAACTCTTTGGGGTACTCCCCATCTGGGAACAAGTTGAGAAAGCGTGGCTTCGTCTCCATCCTCTTGTCCACCGATGATACCACTCGGATCACCAGCTCCTCGGGCCCTTCCACCTGCATAACCACACACAGATACGCAGAGAATGAAGGCACAAGAGAAAACCTCAGAGTCAATGCAAGAGTCTCCATCCTCTTGTCCACGGTCGACACCACTCGTATCACCAGCTCCTCCAGCCCTTCCACCTGCTCTCACACACACACAGCGAATGAGAGCACGTTCTGAGTAAAATCAAAAGTCTCCACCCTCCCTTCCCTTCTCTACGACGACACCACTTGAATCACCAGCTCCTCGGGCCCTTCCACCTGCATGCACACAGGGAACAACGACAAGCAACGCTTTTAACCAGGTGCTTTGCTGAGCTGCCTCAAGGAAGGGTCTCCAGCCAAAGTCCATGGTTTCAAAGCCTCTTCGCCAGCCGCCCCTCTCGGAGCTTCAAGCTGGGGGGTGAGGCAGGTTCCTGACGGGCCCAGCCCAGTGGAGTGAGCGAGTGACGGCTACCAAGGGATGTGGTGGCACCTGACTGACTGGCACCACAGGACCGATTAGGCTCACCTCATCTGGTCTCTTCCTCTGCTGCCTGGCCCTCTCCTCCCTCTCCTGCGCCAGCCTCTTCGCCAGCCGCCCCTAATGATCCGAGAGGCGCGAGCGAGGCAGGTCCCTGGCGCCGAGCACAGAGTGACGGCTACCAATGGAGGGGACAGCTGGCACGATAAGGACCTACGGACCATGCTCACCTCATCCACATTCTTCCTCTGCAGCTTGCCTCACCTCATCTGGTCTCTTCCGCTGCTGCCTGGCCCTCTCCTCCCTCTCCTGCGCCAGCCTCTTCGCCAGCCGCCCCTCTAAATGATCTGAGAGGCGCGAGCGGGGCAGGTCTCGGGCGCCGAGCACGGTGGAGGGCGGGAGAGGCGCCCGGAGGCCTCGCTCCATCTGCTCGCAGCAGCACAGCGGACACGTGTACTCCGCCTCGCCCTCGTTGCGCCGCCCGTTGAAGAGCGCACACACCTGGTGCACCCACCGGTCGCACGTGTCGCATTGTACCCACTGGTGGGGGTGGAGCGAGGGGGGAGGGGGCAGGGAAAGAAGAGGAAGGGGTAGTGTGAGAGACAATGGTCACCGTTGAACAGCGCACACACCTGGTGCACCCACCGGTCGCACGTGTCACACTGCACCCACTGCTCAGTTGGAGCGAGGGGGGAGGGGCAGGGGAAGGAAGAGGAAGGGGTAGTGTGAGAGACGATGGTCACCGTTGAAGAGCGCACACACCTGGTGCACCCACCGGTCACACGTGTCGCACTGCACCCACTGCTCAGTTGGAGCGTGGGAACAACAGAAAGGGAAGAGTGAGAGACGAAGGTTACCAACTTACCAGCAGATTGCGCATACAAGGGAAGGAGGGGGGAACAGGGAGAGTAGGTTGGGACGGGGAGCCAGCAAGATCAAACGGAGAAAACCAAATGGGAGGACCAGGGAGAAAGAAATGCACAAGAAATGCACATACCGCTTCCTCTGTCTCCTCATCATTAATTCTCTTGGTGAGACTAGCCTTGGGAATCGGCCGGAGCCCCTCCAGCGTGATCGCATCCCCTCGGAAGTCCCCATAGCACCGGTTACACACGCACTGCCGCTGGTCGCCCGCGCCCGGCGTGGCATAATACGCCTTGTTCCTCTGAATCCTGCGCCCACACGCCGTGCAGTAGATGGGCGGCGGGTCAAAGAAGAGCTTCTCCACGGAGCACAGCCGGCAGTCGCTGTCCCGCGGCTGCTGCTGCTGCAGCTGCTGCGCCGCCTGCAGCTTCTCCTGCTTCTGCTTGCTCTGCCCCACCCACTGCCTCAGGCTCCGCACGTGCAGCCGGATCATCTCCGGGGTGAAGAGCTCGGTTAGAGACGTGCCCACGCCTTTGCTCTTCATGTTCTTGTTGTTCGCTGCTGCCGCCGCAGCTGCTGCTGCTGCTGATGCTGCTGCTGCAGCAGCTGCTGCTGAGGTGGTGACTGCTCCTGCCCCACCTGCAGGGACAAGCGCCTTGCTATCTTCTGTCCGAGGCTCTGCCTTCACACTCGCTGCGCCGCCACCAGCACCACCCGCGCCAGACGCACCTGCCCCAGTCCTACCCTCCGCCTTCACCTGCCCTGCCCCTGCCCCTGCTGACCCTACCCCTCCCTCTGCCTTCACTGCAGCACCACCAGCAGCAGCAGCAGCGGCAGCAGCAGCCTTAGCCTGTGCGCCCGCTCTCCCTGCAAGAGCGCCATTGGCACTTCCCTGCATCTTGCTGCCAGCAGCCTTGCCAGCCTTGGCACCAACAGGCCTCTCAGGCTTCTCTTTCTCGCCACCAGCAGCACCAGCAGCACCGCCAGGACCACCAGCACCACCCACTCCTCCTCCTGCTGCTGCAGCAGCGCCAGCCTCTGCCTTCACGCCAGAGCTCCGCTTTGGCCCACCACCTGCAGCCTTTAGACCCCCCACCCCGCCTTCCAGCTTGGCTCGTTTTAGCGGCTGCGCCCCTGCCCCCTTCTCCTTCTCCCTCTCCTTCTCCCGCCCTGCCTCTGCCACCCCGCCCTCCCCGCGCCTAGCTCCCTCATTCGGCCTCTTCTGCCCTGTAATGGCCGACCCAGCAACACCCGTGGCACCAGCTGAGCCTGAAGCCGCCGCTGCTCCTGCTGCTCTAGCAGCACTGGTAGCAGCAGTAGCAGCAGCACTGGCTGCGGCAGTAGCACCAGCTTGTGTTGCCCTCTCTACAGCCCCTGCAGCCCCAGCAGCAGGACCCAGCGGCAGAGAAACACCAGGAGCCGAAGCTCCATTGGCAGATGCCCCTTTGCCTGTGGCTGTGTCTTCAGGTGCAGGTGCAGGCTTGGCGGTACCAGTGGTGACAACCGGCACAGCAGTGGAGTGATCTCCCTGCCCACCTGCAGCTGCTGCAGCATTGGAAGCGTCGCCGTTCACTGCAACTGCTCCATCCGCCACAGGCACGGTCGTGATTTGACCATCAATGGCACCTGCCTCTGCCTCGACCTCTTTCCCGTCCTGTCGCTCATTCCCAGTACCCGCAGCGGCATCAGCTGCAGCAGTCACTACAGGAGCAGCTGCTGCAGCCGCAGCCGCAGCAGCAGCGGCAGCCGCCGCAGCCGCAGCAGCCGCCGCATTCGCTCTCGCCGCCAGCATCTGCTGCTGAAACGCGCGCCTCACAGGCCCACACACGGGGCACTTGGGATCCCGGCAGATCTGGTGATGGTGGAGAAGCTTCCTGGAAGGGACGCAGCGGGGGTAAGCGCACTCAGGGTCCTTGCAGCGGGAGCAGTGGGCCCAGAGCTCTCGAAACACGCGGCAGTGCGCGCCCACGTTGCAGGAGCCGTTGGCAGCGATGCAGCGAGACGCATGGCGCAGCGTGTGCAACCACTTCTGCTGCCGCTGGTACTGCATGGCCCGCTGGGGGTCGATCGCGCCGCCTCCTGCTGCTATATCCCCTGCTGCTCCCGTCCCTGCTCCCGCTTCCACCAATGCCACGGCCCCTGCTCCTGCTGTCGCTCCTCCTCCTGCCCCTGCTCCTGCCGCTGCTCCCGCCGCTGCTCCTGCAGCTGCAGTGGCTTTGGCAGAAGGTTCGGTACTAGCAGGCACGCCATTCAGCACTGCACCTGTTGCTCCCGAACCGGGTGTTGAACCGGAGGGCTGCTGCTGCTGCTGCTGCGTTTGCTGTGAGCCCACAGGCCCTTTTCCACCCTGCATCCGCTGTGGAAATCCCGCGTTCCCCTTAACATGCGGGTGCTGCTGCGGCTGCTGACGTGAGTGCTGCTGATGCGCCATCACACCGCCTGCACCACCCACGCCAGCAGCACCGGCACCAGTCCCGGCCACAGCAGCACCGTCCACCACAGCCCCACCTGCCCCACCCGCCCCCCCTGCTGCCCCAGCCCCACGAAAGGCGCCGTCGCGAGCAGCAGAGGCAGTGAGGCCCCCAGCGTCCATCACGGGAGGGCCGCCAGGCGTGGGAATCATGAGAGACGCGCCACCCACCCGACCTGCCTGCTCCGTTGCCCCTCCCGCCTGTGCTGGGCCGGATGGGATGGAAGGGCCTGGTGGCAGGTACCCTGGCATTGCTGCAGACAGGAAGAAAAAGAGAGGCGCAGGGAGAAGGGGAGGATGGGATGCGCAGGGAGGGGACAGGAAATGCAGGGGCGAGCAGGGAATTCGCAAAAGAGGGGGTGGAGACGAAGGGAGGGTGTTGAAGACGCAGAGGGCATGGGATTAGGCAAGGAGGTGAACAAAATTCTCAGGGAATTTGGCAAATCGGCAGGGAGGGTGTGGGACATGTAAAAACGGTTAAGATACGCAGGCGATGCGGGGGTGGAGGAGGGAAGGGGGGGCGGGGGAGGGGGATTGGGGAGGGGGGAGGGGTTGCAAGAAACCGCAGGGAGGAAACCATGAGAATGACTCACTGACACAGGCGTCTGAGAAATTCACCATGAGAATCGGTGGTTGGTAGCTGCTGCTGCTGCTGCTGGTACATGTGGTGTGGTTGTTGCTGCTGCTGAGACAATCCCTGATACGCTTGCTGCTTCCGCTGCGGTCCCTGCTGCCTCTGCCGCTGCTGCTGCTGTAGTTGCGGTTGCGGCTGTTGCTGTTGCTGCTGCTGCAGTTGCGGTTGCAATTGCTGTTGCTGTTGCTGCTGCTGCTGCTGCTGCTGCTGCCCCCCGTGCTGCCCCCCATGCTGCTGCCATTGCTGCTGCCTCTGGCCCTGTTGCCCTTCCTGCAGCATCGCCTGCTGCTGCAGCTTCTGCTGCTCAACTTGCATCTGCTGCTCCACCTGCCGCTGCTCCGCATACCCCTGATTGCTCCCACCCAGGTCAGCCAGACCACCACGTTGACCCATGACTCTGCCCGTCCCTACCCCCACACCAACCCCCACACCTGCCTGCACTCCTGACCCTGACATGCCCGAAGCAACTTCACCTCCCTCTCTCCCTCCTCTCGCCGCAGCTTGACCAGGGCCCATAGAAGTCCCCAACGCAGCACCCGCGCTGGCAGCCGCACCATCAGCAGCAGCCACGCTTGCACCCGGACCCGCCACCAATCCTGATGCGGGCATGCCATCCGAACCAGCGGTCCAGGTTTGGGATCTTGAAGCATCGGAATTTGGTAGCCCCGGTGTGGGAACCATAGCAGGGCCTGTTGCATCGGCTAAGGTCGAAGCAGACGCAGAGGCGGGGTTAGAAGTCAGACGGTTGTTGGGGGCGGAGGGAGACTGAAGTGTTGGTTGTTGTTGTTGTTGTTGTTGGTTGGGTAACCGGCGCTGGAAGTGTCCTCCTTGTTGCACTGGCTGCTGCTGCTGCTGCAACTGTTGCAACTGTTGTTGCTGCTGCTGCTGCTGCTGCTGCTGCAGTTGTTGCTGCACTGGCCGATTCTGCGTGAATTGTTGCTGCTGTTGCATAGAATGTTGCTGTTGTTGTTGTTGTTGTTGCTGCTGTTGCTGCTGTTGCTGCGATTGCTGCGGTTGATGCTGCTGATGTTGCTGCTGCTGTGGCAGCGGCTGCAGCGCGGAAAGCGGCTGTGATTGCGGTTGAGACATGAATCCGGGTTGCCCAACTCCTGATATCATATGAGTCAAGTAGAGAGCAAGCGAGAGAGTAAGATCGAATGAGAGAGTGAGAGAAGAGAAAGGTACAGAAGGAAAGAAGGGTGGGGGAAAACAGCAGCAAATGCGAATATATAGCGAAAGACGAAAAGGTACGATAGATTATGATACAAATCCGCGTACCACTTGGCATCTGCTGCTGAAGTGGTTGACCTCCTTGCTGCTGCACTTGTTGCTGCTGTTGCTGTTGCTGTTGCTGTTGCTGTTGCTGTTGCTGCAGCTGACGTTGTTGCGGTTGTTGCTGCTGTTGCTGGTGCTGCTGTTGTAATTGTTGTTGTTGCTGCAGCTGCGGCTGTTGCTGCTGCTGCTGCTGCTGCTGTTGTTGCTGCTGCTGTTGTTGCTGCTGCTGTTGTTGTTGCTGCTGCTGCTGCTGTTGCTGCTGCTGCTGCTGCGTTCTGGTAGACAGGAGCCTAGCAGCGAGCTGCAGTCGTCGCTCCAGAGTGCTGAAATCGCCATACTCCTCCTGCAACACCACAACAACAACAACCAGCTCCGCCAGGCCACAGCACAAAGCACAGAGCACAGAACAGCACAGGCACAGCGGCGAGAAACAAACAGCAGTAACAGGTAAGCGAAATCAACCGGAGGAAGAAAAAAAGGCGTGACGAAACTGCCTTCACTCTACAGACAAATGGACGGACGGACAGCAGCGACGGTAGCGATTAGAGCAGCTAGCGAGTGAGGAGCGTCGAGGCCTCACCCTCGAATTCGCCGTTCGGTAAAGCACTTCCTCCAGCTTGCGGACGAAATCCGTCAGCTTCTCCCGGTTGTACTGCGACGTCGCTTGCGGATTCCTCGTCTGGAACAGTTGCATCCTGCAGACGGTAAATGGGACAGGAAACGAAGCGAACAGGGAGGTAAAAATCGGAATCGAGCACTGCATACGATTGTTTACGACGACACGAAAACGTCACGTGTCGGTTCGAGACGGAGAGGAAGCGCGAAGCTTACGTCCTCGCAAAGACGCTGTGTCGCAACTGAGTGTCCTGGTCTGGTTTCCGCCATTGCGTTGCCGGGTTTCCCGCCGACCGCTGCATGGGAGCAGCGGTCTGCGCCTGCATTTTCCCGGCGCCTAAGCAGCCGGATACCGTACCCTAACAAACCTTAGCGCTTTTCAAGCCCTATGAAACTAAAATAGGATCTTAAAACGCACCACAGACAAAGTATGAGCTTTCCGTAAACAAGCGTTTTACATGGCCTCCTTCGGCAACGAAACGTTTTTTTCCTAGTTAGTATCAAAGTAGTAGTTTTGCGTAGTCTACAACGGCCTAGAAGTAACGATCCTAAGGCCAGGAGCCTTCAATATTGCTTTCCATTTTTCCATTTTTCACGGCAGAGCAGCCATGGCTGCTGATAGCTTGAAGCAAGCAACAAGGTGTTTCAGGCATCGGAAGGCGAAGTGAGCTGCTCTGCAGAACGCTGGGGTGGGGAGCGGTGAGAGGCGTGGAGCAGAAGGTACTCCCGAGAAAACAGATCCACCGAACTGGTTGTCGCCTTCGTACGAAGTGGTTACAGCGGCTAACGATACGTCGGTCACGAAAACCCTTGTGCTGGTTTGTAGAATGTTACCAGTAAATTTTCTGTTCCAAAAAGCTAAGAGCGTGTCCGAAGTGAAGCGTCGAATAGATGTCGATGGATATCGGTAAATGTCAACCCTCGGATCGAGAGTTCCAACCGTCAGGATTTACCGACATCGGATGTCAACGGATATCGACTTCACTTCGGACCCGCCCTAACAGGTCATATAGTCTCAGGTCTATATGAAATATGGGATGACTTGTGTAGTGTTACGAGTGCAATCGAGTGAGCGAGCGAGGATTGCACTATCGAAGCAAGAGTACAATGAGCGAAGGCATAAGCAAAGAATATATAGCGAAATTACAGAGGTAACGGTAATGAACTGTGGTTGTCGCGCGACGGGCCTGGGACTGAGGTTTGGGGAAAATGTCGAAGCAGAGGCCCGGAGCGCGGGTTACCCACCGAGCCGTGAGGTCGGGGTGCGACGTGCGAAGGTGGCGGGAGGATTGTCGATGCGAGGGTTGCGAGTGGTAACGGTGCTGACTGTGGTGCTACAGTGGTGTACGCGCTGAGCGGGGACGCGAAGTAAGGAAAAGGAATTTTCTTTACACTACCCCCCCTCCTAAGGAGGTCCTCCTTATGAAAGCGCGTGTACATCCCTGAATTTTCGGCTGCGCAGATACTCGGTGAGGACGAGGTGGGTTTCGATTCTATGCAGGGGAACCCAGTTGTCTTCGGTGGGTGTACGGTCTCTCCAGCAGATCAGGAACTCGATCCTTCGGGCTCCTCAAGGGTCACGAACTCTGTGGCTCAGAATTTTCTCGGGGGTGATGATTGGTTCAGTCGGCGGTCGTGTCATGCTGGCTGGGCGATTACGTGGCAGTTGGCTTGTGGACGGGACGTAAGGGCGAAGCAGGCTGACGTGGAATGAGGGGCTGACGTACCAGTCAGCGGGGAGGAGGAGGTGGGCGGTGACGGCCGTAATCATGTGGCTTATGCGAAATGGCCCGCAGTATCGGGGGCGGAGTTTTGGGGTGATGGGCAGTCGGAGGTTCTGAGTGTCAAGTAAAACTAGGTCATCGGGCTGGTAAGTGACAGGTCTGCGATGGCGGTCGGCGTTACGTTTAGCGATGATGTTGGATTTTTTTATTGCGTCTGCTGCCCGGGTCCGTGCTGCTTGTAATATTTCGACGAACTGTTGTGCTCGTGGCACTGGGTTGTCGGGATTCGGGGTCATGGGTATTGTCGGGTCTTGTCCGTAGTTTAGGTAAAATGGTGACTGTTAGGTCGTGGCAGACGGTGAGTTGTTGTATGCGAATTCAATGAGTGGCAGCTAATGTTCCCAGGTGGTTGGGTCGTCGCACGTGGCTCGGATGAGTTGCTCCATAGTCTGGTTTGTTCATTCTATCTGTCCGTCGGTTTCGGGGTGGTATGAAGAGCTGAACTGTAGTCGCGTGCCGAACTGCTGCCATAGGTTCCGCCACAAGTTGCTGGTGAATTTCGTGTCGCGGTCGCTGATGATCGCTGATGGTATCCCGTGCAGTCAAACGACGGTGGAGATGAAGAGTCGAGCTATTTCTTCGGCTATGATCGATTTTTTGTAGGCTGCGAAATGTGACATTTTCGTCAGTCGATCGACGACGACCATGATCGCGTCGTTCCCACTCGCCCCGGCCAGTAACCCCGTGACGAAGTCTATCGTCACCTGTTGCCAAGCACGCTCTGGGGGTGGTATCGGCTGCAACTGTCCTGCCGGCCGCTGCCGTGATGATTTCATGAGCTGGCAAGTGGGGCACGATGCCACGTGTTGTTGTACGTCGATCAACATTTTGGGCCAGTAATAATACCGCTGCAGATGCTGCCGTGTTTTCTCTACCCCAAAATGCCCCGAGGTAACTCCGTCGTGTGCCTCCTGTAACAGTAATTCTCGTAGCAGTGTATACCCAGGCACCCAGATGCAGTCGGTCCCGGCTTTTACGTAATAGACTCCCTTTGCTGTTGCGAACTGCTGCGAATTTCCTCTTGTAAAGAATGGATCCGTTTGGTACCCGTGGGTAAATAGGCCTATCACTAGTGGGCTTGTCTGGGCGAGTAGTATTGCATGGATCTGGGCAGTGGGGCGGGTCAGTGCGTCGGCGATGTTCGAGGCTCCTTTTTTGTAAGTGACCGTGTAGTGAAAGTTGGACTCGAGAAAATCGAGCCAGCGAATCTATCGTGGGTTGAAGTGTGGCTGTGCGCGGAGATACTGTAGTGATTTATGGTCTGTCCGTACTGTCCCGTCTGCGCCGGTCAAGTAACAGCGCCACACTTTGAACGCGTGCACGATCGCAAGCATTTCGCAGTCGTGTATTGGGTAATTTTTCTCGGGCGGATGCAGTTTTCGTGACTCGTATGTGATGGGCTGTAGGCCGTTGCCGAAGTTCTGTAGCAGTACGGCTCCGATGGCAATGTCGATTGCGTCGGTAACTACTTCGAATGGGCGGTGTGGGTCGGCGATGCGCAGGACGAACGGTGAACAGATAACATTTTTCAGGGCAGAGAAGGCAGCATGCTCTTTCTCCCCCCACGTAAAAGCGACCCCCTTCCGTAACAAGTCCGTCAGCGGCGCAGTTAACCGTGCCATGTCGGGGACGAACCAACGCACGTAGTTTACGAACCCAAAAAAGATCTGTGGTTCAAGGTTGGATGGGAGGTGAGACAGTCAAACTTATATCCTATGCTATAGTCTGTGTAGGCTGTAGTGGGGTAGACAATATGGGGTACAACACTTCTAGGTTTTCCTACTTGTACCCACCTGCTTGCTAGTTCATTCATTCCTCAATTCTCACATGGTATAGAGCAGGTTCCCTAGTGGGAACTTCCTAGGGCCTACCACTGAACATCGATTTTTTTTCCTGCCCTGAGATCGAGTCGCCCCTGACCGAGGCGCGCCCTGTATGCCGCCCTCCTCTTAGCGACCCGTCGCGCCACCCTTAGCGCCCCCCCCCCCCCCCCCCCCCCCCACCCCC